ATATATATATATATACACACACACACACTATTGCAATAATATATTCCTTGGAATATTTCCCCTTCCAATCAAGGGCCACATAAGAGAAAGGTAGGTCAGGAACCCATCAGTAAAGCCCTCATTTTACAGTGCCAGAAGCTTCAATGCCAAGGATTCCCTGCATCTTCCTTGTTCTTCAAGAATTCTTCAGGCACGAGGGTGAGACCAACTGTTCTATACTCATCTTCTGCTTTCATCACCCACTTCCTCATACAAGTTGACTCCTTAGTCCTGTTTTAAGCCAGCTATAAAACAGGTTTCCTTTGATACCATTTCAATTCCCTACATATCAATGGTAACTGGAGCTGTTTCAGGACATAACAGACCAAGACATTTATTTACAGATTAAAAAATGCTATTACAACAGGGACAGATCTATTAGCTACAGTAAGGTAGGGTACAGTTTACCCATCTCAAAACAAAACCACCTTCCTTTGTCAACCTAGGATTTCCAAAGAGAAGCAGAAGACTGCATTTCAAGTCTGAGGGTTTAGACCAAGAAATTTGAACCCAGGCCTCCATATTTCCACCCCCTTCAAATAAAGATCATTTTCATCTATGGTGTTAGGGAGGGAGAGAAAATCCTGATTTTGACCACTTCTTCCAAACCTGTCAAAATGATTTGGTAGGAAAACAGACCTGGTGAAAGAAAGCCTGTTTACAGAAGAACCCCAAATAACTCGTCTCTCTTTTGCGAAGATGCTTCCCCCCAACTGTCACACAATACAAACTTTCTTCAGCAGCCCCCAAGAGTGGCCCATTGCTGCAGAGTATATGCAAAGAATTTTTATGCTGGGGCACTTCAGTACACATCAGAAGCTAGGCAAGGTACTCACTCCTTCAGCTGGAACGGCTCCAGGCGTTCAAACCATGGCCAGATCAAGTAGTCAATCATGGAGATGGAGTCCCCACCGTAAAACACAGTGTTACGTTTGGACAGAATCTGTGAGGGGTGAGAGAGGACAATTGCCCCGAGAAGGAAAATTACCACAGCAGGACACTACAGTAACAAAACATTTCCACCTTGTAGTAAAACGTAGGCACACTGGAGGGATTAGACAGCAAATAATGCAGAAATAGCACACTTCTCCCATGCATGCAATATCCAGGGAGTCAGAGCTAGTCAGTAAAGCAGCTGTAGTATCAAGCTTAACTATTTCATACACTGTCAGTCCAGCTCTGCTCCAGTGGTTCAAAAACTGTCACAAAATATTAACCACTAGCAAGCTGCAGCTTGTGCACAAACAAGAAGGAATTTAGCTCTCGAGAAATCACATACTGACAGATTCTACCTGTCAAAAAGCATTAATGGCACTGACTAATCAAACATAACAATGCATATGCATTTCTTGAGCAACAAATGCAGCTGAATTTACCATCCAGGTAAACTAGAACACCATTTTAGCAGGGACTCTTTTCCCATGGCACTTGAGGTCAAGTGGTGTCAGGAAAATATTTCCAACATTACATCTAGAACTCAATTTTATTGCAGGTACAAAGGAACAGGAAGCAAGTATAACATCCACATATACCAGAAAGAGATCCCCACAGCTGAGCACAGAAAGCAGGGCCACAAAGAGTGCGGCAAGTTCTCCTGTTGCATTTACGTTTCTGATACCTTTCAAATGTCACAGTCATCCAAGTTTAACATGCTTTAAGGAACCTCCAGAGTTTGGCCTCTTCCTTCATAATACCAGTCCCTCTATTTTCAGGCACTTTCACATTTAGAACATGGAACTCGAGACCCTACAAATCTTTGTCTTTTTGGACACACAACACTATACTCCTATGGCATTTACTCCCTGTTCCCTAACCTCCATGATCTAGTAGAAATTGTAAAGCAGTCCTTCAGGAAGCATCAAGCTGTTTGAATTGCCAGGTGTGTGGCAGAACATAACCCGGCAGTTGCACAGTTGCAGAGATGGGAACACAGCTCCCTCTATCGGGTAGCACCAAACTAAATACAGAAGTGCTTCAAAACACTTCCCTTCTTCAGTATCTCTTGCAATAGGCTGACTGAAGTTTGCATGGCTCTGTTCCTTCCTCCCATCCTCAGCTGACCTTCAGCTGCTGCTGCAAAATCCGTCGGGGTATAGTAGGAAAGAGACACTGAAGGAGCAGCCTTCAGGTATTTTGTAGCATTAATAAAGCAGGAAGAAGGTTAATTCTTCCTTAATGTTTAACAGATCTGCATTTCAGGAAAGTGAAACACATGTGGCTTCCCCCAAGAGCTCACTTGTCATCTGCACTACTCCAGCATCAGTCTGATCAGACTGTCAAGAGTACTCTGAAAACAATTTTACTTTGGCAGCTTGAGGGAATGGCGAAGCAGAATGCACAGGACTGAGGAGAATTAGGGAAGTACTATAAAGCTATTGGTAGCTTTGCACCAGAAGAGAAACACTCTGGAGGAACGCTTCTTGATAGAGCCAGACACTAGCACTAGCTGTGGCTGCTAAAGATGCAGAAGGAATGGGTTCATGATACAGGCAAGTCCGACAGCTGTTCAGACTAGCCAGGAACCACTACTGACGTGGACAGCGAAGCTGCTAATACAGCATCAAAGCCACCTGGCATTTCTTGGAGCTCTGCTGAAGCTGCATTACACCACCAGTAGCAGAACTTGGCCCATGGCTGTATTTCTGCAAGGGACAGATTACATTCTGCTTCCTCCTACCCCCAACAAAGATAAGCTCTTGAACAAAAAAGGTTTTATATCATCACTGGGTATCTGCACTGAGCTACAGCACAGATGGTCTTCAGCAGCTCAGACTCCTCAGCCCTTGCTCTTAGAACATGCTGCAAGATCTCCTTAGATTTTAAGCAGAACAAAGACAGCAGCAGTCAGCTAGAATTCAAAACAAGTCCACAGAGCCTTCATCATACAGATGAAGTTTAGTTTAGCTACTTGGAATTTACTCTAATGGTGCTGTTGTGCATCCTAGGCCAGGGGAAGTAAATTGAAAGATGGTTCATTGTTGTAACTACCAAGTAAACAAGAAGAGATCTAGCTCCAAAGGCCAAAGAATGAAAGAAAAAAGATATCATACAATGACAGGCAACCTGCTCGTTATCATTAAATACTCTTACCTCTTCAAGTTCGCCCAACTTTTCATCAATCTCTGCTTTCAGTGCTGTGGTGTCCTGTCCATCTTTGACTGCCATAAAATACTTGAAAACTACAGGTGTTATCTATACAAAGGAAAGCATTAAGTTTTTAATGTTCCTATTACAATAATGTAAGCAAGTCACTCAGCTTAAAATGCCAAGTTAGATGTTAAGGTATTAGATGCAAGTTAAATCTTAAAGATGTAACTTTAAAGAGTTAAATAAAGTCTGTTAACAAAATTCTTTTATACTTCAGAAAAAGTAAGCAAAGGCTCACACACTACCACAAAAGTAGGAAAAAAGGCAGCAAGGTGCAGAGTGGTACTCTTTTCCCAGTTACGCATTTCTGAAAGCCAAATGCACTTTAATTATAAACATTTTGGGTACTTTAAGAAACAGGTATGCAGCCCAGGACATTCAGGCTTCTACGAAGGCTCCGGGGAGATCTTATAGCGGCCTTCCAATACCTGAAGGGGGCCTACAAGAAAGCTGGGGAGAGACTTTTCATAAGGGCAGTTAATGACAGAACAAGGGGAAATGGGTTTAAGCTGAAAGAGGGGAGGTTTAGATTAGATATTAGGAAAAAGTTCTTCACTGTGAGGGTGGTCAGACACTGGAACAGGTTGCCCAAGGAAGTTGTGGATGCCCCCTCCCTGGAAGTGTTCAAGGCCAGGCTGGATGAGGCTTTGAGCAACCTGGTCTAGTGGAAGGTGTCCCTGCTGATGGCAGGGGGGTTGGAACTGGATGATCTTTGAGGTCCCTTCCAATCCTAACCATGCTATGATTCTATGATTTTCTAATTTGGTGACTGCAGAGAAATTAGCATACAGTACCAGGAAATTGCCCAGCGGCCACACTTAATTAAATTTTATTCTTAAAAGCTCATAGAAAAAAAAACAAAAACATTTTTCTAAGATCTTGTCATTCATACAACCAACACTCAGTACGTGTTTAGTTTCTTGCAACATGCTTCCCTGTAACCCTCTTTCCATCATGCCTATTCAGAATTACTTGTTGTAAGTATATTCTCCTTTCTATCCCTTTTTTTTGTCCACATCCCTTTGCATGTTCCATTGCTTCCTCTTCTCTGCTGCCTCATATCCAAGCTGACTTCTTTCACTTCCTAGACCCTTCAAAGCATGTGCTTGTACAAAGAGGTTACTTCCAGTCAGCCACAGTGCTCATCTCCAACCCCTACTGAGAGCCAAAACCAATCTTCTTATAAAAGTCCCATGTCTACAGCCAATTGCCATCTCCATGGTTGCAGACTCTCTCAGTTAGGCACTCTTCACATTCCACATTCACACAGTACTTCCAAAAGAGATACATGGATTAAAATACAGCAGCTGTCACTGCCTAGGTCTCAAGCATTCAGCTGGTTTGGTCTATTAACCTTTGCTCTATTGTAGGATGTTCAAAATCCTGCCTCAGTCATATACACTTTCAGTAGTTTGGCTGTCCTCCTGCATCCATCCCCACACATAAATTCTGGGAGTAATTCAGATTCAGTGGTTTAATTCAGTAATTTCTATGTGCTCACAACAAGAGACCCCAACAATCCCTCTGGTTATTTAAATGCTTTTCCCAGACCCAAGACCTGCCTTAAAGGATGAACACAGCATTGGCAAGAGAGCTGCAGTTTTTGGTGCCATGGTAAGGTGAGAAACACAATCCCACCCTGATTACACGGTACCTTTGAGAAGCGTTCCAAGAGCATCTTCTGAAAGGCTCGCTCATATGGGTCCGAAGGCATCAACTTCTTCCCTGGAAATGCTTCATCCAAATATTCACAAGTGATTGGGGACTCATAGATCAGCTGGCCCTTGTTAGTCTCCAAAACAGGAACCAGCCCAAAGGGGTTCTTCTCAAAGAACCAGTCAGGTTTGTTCTTCAGATTGATGTTGATTACTTCATGGCTAAAAGAGCAAAAGACCAAAAAAGGCTCAGTTCTGCTACAGGCCATGGTGAAATGCAGTCACTACACCTCAACAGCTACAGTACTGGAGAGGCTGCATCCTCCTTCTCCCTTGTCTTTCCTGAAGTCCTTTGCAGGACTAACCATTTGACATCTAGAAATACCTCCAGGCACTTCTCTTTGCTGGAGAAAACCAGCACTGACTTACAATGAGTTGTTTGTTAAACTAACAAAAGACACATGAACAGTGTGCAAGCACACAGAGGCAGCCCTTATAGTCATACTAGAAAAAAGGTCAAGCTCAGAATGCAGCATCTATCACATGCAGGTTCAGGAGCATTCCAAGACAGAAACACTTGATTGCAAATACACTCCAATTAAGAAATGCAGCTGGACTTTAATCTGATCTCACACCAAAGAGCAAATCAGAAAAGCATCCTACCTACTTATCTTCCCCACCTATGGCCTCACACAGAGCAGGTGTTTCAGGTAAAGGCAAATAAATATTGATAAAAAAGATATATGGGAAATACTTCTGTGTTACATTAACAAACCATAAGTTATATGCTGTATTGGATGTGTGACCCCAGAAAATTCCTAGTAAGCCCAGAAGTCTGCTAAACAGAGCTGAACCTTCAAGACAACTGACAGGTTACCAGAAGGTGACTACCACCTTTAGGTAGCCATAAAACCCCTCCAAAATCACTGTACTAAAGCAAACCTCCCAGCTCCAAAATCAGTCCAATGATACTAAATAAAGACAGAATTAAAGTGACATGGAAGTTGTAATGCACCTCGTTTTTCAAAAAAAGACTCAAGAAAAAACCAAAACAACTCTCATCTTGCTATCAGGAGAACTGAGTGGCAAGCTATGCTAACATGGACTCTGAGCCCAGTGCTGGTTAAAAAAACGTTGACAGGCCTAAGACTTGGTGGGAAACAGAAAAAGGTAGAAAAAACCTGTTAGTTTGAAGCTGTAAACTGAGGGAAGCATCAGTCCCCATTTAAAAACACTGAAATGACATGGATATCTTGAAAAATAAACAAACACAAATGCCAAATTCCATTAACTTACTACAGCACAGGAATGAGAAGACTTTATAGGAACACAGTACATTTCCTCTTTTAATAAGGCCACTCACTCACTATTGTGTTTTGCTAAGCAGTAATACAACAGGAACACTGAATATTCCTATCTCCCAGAATTTTCACTGCCGCTTACATCAAAACCAAACAACAACGTGTATTAAGGCTCCACTCACATTTACCCAGGACAAGCTCAAACCTTACTATTGCAAACATTCAGGATGACAGCTGAGAAAAAAAAAAGTCAGCTTGGGGTTTTCCCCTATGGATTTACTTTGGGCCTTTCCATAACTGATTTCATACACAGCCTATTTATCTCCCCCATGACATCGCTCCCCAAAAAAGTCTTCAGAAGTTCAAGCTTTATAGCAAAGTCACCCACAGAAACCTCTTTTCACTCAGTTCTTTCAGGGATGTTCAGTGAAGAGCCATTTAGGATGCGCAGGGAAGGAGGGAAGGAAGCTCGAACCGCCCGCTGCTCCGTGCGAG